ATTGCTTTTTCATTGTTGATCTTGCCCCCTACCTTGGCTTGTCTGAACCACTTTCCCGGGGCATGGTACTTCCAGTACCCACGGGACTCTCCTGTTAGCAGATCCATGGATCCAACATCCTCAGATCCATAGGATCCAGTGACCAGACAGACCTTAGGTGGATCTGCAGTGACTTCACCCTTGGTAGGCTCAAACCATCGGCCATGTTGGCGTTTCTCCCAATAACCACGTGCCTCTCCTCTGTGTAGATCCAGGGTTGAAGAGACTTCGGATCTGGAAAACTCATCCACTTGGCGCAAACTAGAGACCTTGGCAACTGACACTTCATGTAGATCACGTGTATTATCGACTGGATCTAGGGTCCTGCTACCTGGATCTAGCGATGTCTTGTTCACAAATGCATAAATGCAAAGTGTATGGATGCACAGTACACTGGATCTGCAAGCGACAATCTGTGGTGGCGAAGTCTTCTACTGCAGCCGAATTCATCGCATGTTCAATGGGAGTCGAGGAGGTCATGTGGATTCAGCTCTTCATGAACGCCATTGGACAAAGTCGCGAAGAAGATCAACTTCTCGTACTCGTAGACAACAAGTCTACCATTCACCGAATTACGAACGGCAAGACATCGGAAGCTCAAAAGACTATTGACGTCATGTACCATTCGATCAAAGACGCGTACAAGAATGGCAGAGTCAAACTGGAATATTGCCCTACAACTACTATGCTTGCCGACGGACTCACAAAAGCACTCGGAGCGAAACGATTTCTAGACCATCGCACAAGGATCGGACTCGCCCTTCATCTGACTCAAGCTGAGTTGCGGGGAAGTGTTGTAACTGGTCAACTCAACTGATGAGTCAAAGAGGAGAAATCACGGTAGTGCCTCTGATGACGCTAGATATGTACCCACTCCCTCTGGCTCGCGCAGATAAATCATCTAATTCATTCTTTGATTTTCCTGGAATCTAACAGCTGCTGCTCTGGCAGAGCTCACCAAGCCTAACTGCCGACTTCGCTGACTGCACTACCAATTCTCCAAGACAGCCAGAGGGCTCATCGCAGCCTTCCGCGAGAACAATAGATCCCGTGGGTATCCATAACACGAAGAAATGCGACGTCAAAGCGAGTAGCAACCGGATGGCTCGAGGCGGGGATTGAAGCAAGCCTGGTGGCGAAAGAAGCATGCGAGCATGGCCGTAAGTGTAGGAGCACGACGATATGTGAAAGTGATATGTGCAGCACATGTGGCATGTCCATGAATACGTGAATTGCGTGCGATTCGAGCGGGTTGCGGATTGGGCGTGTTGTGTCTAAGCTAGGTGCTCTTATGGTGTAATGGTTAGCACTCTGGACTTTGAATCCAGCGATCCGGGTTCAAATCCCGGCAGGAGCTTGATTTTGTGCGGCGTTGCAAGCATCGTATGTAGCGATGGCGCCAGCTGTCGTGTGGGGCTTTAGGAAAGCGTTTGAAATTTTGTTTGCGGATTGGTGAGTTAGTGCTGGTCTTACGGTGTAATGGTTAGCACTCTGGACTCTGAATCCAGCGATCCGGGTTCAAATCCCGGTAGGACCTCGTTTTGCACCGCTTCTATCGGCCCTACAACGCCCCAGTTGTTGCTGCGTTGCGCACCTGCCACACGCTACAGCCGCGTCACGTTGTGTTGCCGTGGTGTGTTATATCGTGTCCCGGCGATCCGCTGCCGATTTAAGTGGTAGCTGCTGCTCTGGCAGAGCTCACCAAGCCTAACTGCCGACTTCGCTGACTGCACTACCAATTCTCCAAGACAGCCAGAGGGCTCATCGCAGCCTTCCGCGAGAACAATAGATCCCGTGGGTATCCATAACACGAAGAAATGCGACGTCAAAGCGAGTAGCAACCGGATGGTTCGAGGCGGGGATTGAAGCAAGCCGGGTGGCGAAAGAAGCATGCGAGCATGGCCGTAAGTGTAGGAGCACGATGATATGTGAAAGGGGTATGTGCAGCACATGGGGCATGTCCGTAAATACGTGAATTGCGTGCGATTCGAGCGGGTTGCGAATTGGGCGTGTTGTGTCAGAGCTAGGTGCTCTTATGGTGTAATGGTTAGCACTCTGGACTTTGAATCCAGCGATCCGGGTTCAAATCCCGGTAGGAGCTTGATTTTGTGCGGCGTTGCAGGCATAGAATGTAGCGATGGCGCCAGCTGTCGTGTGGGGCTTTAGGAAAGCGTTTGAAATTTTGTTTGCGGATTGGTGAGGTAGTGCTGGTCTTATGGTGTAATGGTTAGCACTGGACTCTGAATCCAGCGATCCGGGTTCAAATCCCGGTAGGACCTCGTTTTGCACCGCTTCTACCGGCCCTACAACGCCCCAGTTGTTGCTGCGTTGCGCACCTGCCACACGCTACAGCCGCGTCACGTTGTGTTGCCGTGGTGTGTTATATCGTGTCCCGGCGATCCGCTGCCGATTTAAGTGGTAGCTGCTGCTCTGGCAGAGCTCACCAAGCCTAACTGCCGACTTCGCTGACTGCACTACCAATTATCCAAGACAGCCAGAGGGCTCATCGCAGCCTTCCGCGAGAACAATAGATCCCGTGGGTATCCATAACACGAAGAAATGCGACGTCAAAGCGAGTAGCAACCGGATGGCTCGAGGCGGGGATTGAAGCAAGCCTGGTGGCGAAAGAAGCATGCGAGCATGGCCGTAAGTGTAGGAGCACGACGATATGTGAAAGGGGTATGTGCAGCACATGTGGCATGTCCATGAATACGTGAATTGCGTGCGATTCGAGCGGGTTGCGGATTGGGCGTGTTGTGTCTGAGCTAGGTGCTCTTATGGTGTAATGGTTAGCACTCTGGACTCTGAATCCAGCGCTTTGAATCCAGCGATCCGGGTTCAAATCCCGGTAGGAGCTTGGTTTTGTGCGGCGTTGCAGACATAGAATGTAGCGATGGCGCCAGCTGTCGTGTGGGGCTTTAGGAAAGCGTTTGAAATTTTGTTTGCGGATTGGTGAGTTAGTGCTGGTCTTATGGCCGTAATGGTTAGCACTCTGGACTCTGAATCCAGCGATCCGGGTTCAAATCCCGGTAGGACCTCGTTTTGCACCGCTTCTACCGGCCCTACAACGCCCCAGTTGTTGCTGCGTTGCGCACCTGCCACACGCTACAGCCGCGTCACGTTGTGTTGCCGTGGTGTGTTATATCGTGTCCCGGCGATCCGCTGCCGATTTAAGTGGTAGCTGCTGCTCTGGCAGAGCTCACCAAGCCTAACTGCCGACTTCGCTGACTGCACTACCAATTCTCCAAGACAGCCAGAGGGTTCATCGCAGCCTTCCGCGAGAACAATAGATCCCGTGGGTATCCATAACACGAAGAAATGCGACGTCAAAGCGAGTAGCAACCGGATGGCTCGAGGCGGGGATTGAAGCAAGCCTGGTGGCGAAAGAAGCATGCGAGCATGGCCGTAAGTGTAGGAGCACGACGATATGTGAAAGGGGTATGTGCAGCACATGTGGCATGTCCGTGAATATGTGAATTGCGTGCGATGCGAGCGGGTTGCGGATTGGGCGTGTTGTGTCTGAGCTAGGTGCTCTTATGGTGTAATGGTTAGCACTCTGGACTTTGAATCCAGCGATCCGGGTTCAAATCCCGGTAGGAGCTTGATTTTGTGCGGCGTTGCAAGCATAGTATGTAGCGATGGCGCCAGCTGTCGTTGTGGGGCTTTTAGGAAAGCGTTTTGAAATTTTTGGTTTGCCGAATCGTGGAGTTAGGTGCCGGGTCTTATGGGTGGAAATGGTTAAGCACTCCTGGGACTCCGAAATCCCGGCGAATCCTGGGGTCCAAATACCCCGGTAAGGA